GCCAATACTGATACACTGCAGCTCCTGTTTAATGTCATGAAAAATCCAGTTTGTCCAGTTTGTGTTTACAGACAGGAAAAAACTGAATGCTTGATATTTAATGCGATCTCAAAATCATACATTAAGTCTAATATTTTCTAAAAGATGTCCAGTTCACTCATTTGTAGCATAGCCCAATACACCCAGAAAAAAAGTAATATTAGTAGAGTCATGCGTGCCTATTGTGAGTCTGAATCCCATGTTTCAGAGGAGTCTGTTTTCCGAACTCTTTAAAGCAATTAGTGATCCACTTAAGGCCGACATAAGATTAATGCCAGAAGAGCCGACGAGCAGAGCTGTGGAACTAATCTGTAATACATCCCTGTGTTACTGACAACTTGTAGACATGAGGGAAATTGCAGGCCAGAGTCATCTGTACAAGCTTAGCGCAGCCCCTTTGAACCATAATCCCCCTCGAACATTTAGACACAGAGCAGAAAGGATCGCCGTGTGGCACAAAGTCATCAACCACACACTGCTGAGATTCACTTCAAAACAATGAGAATATGAAACAAGGGCAGAATCACGCACATGTGTGAATAAAAAGACCAAGTTGAAAAGCATAAAAGACTTATATGTCCGAGCATATGGTTGCCAGATTTTGCAGCAGACTTCTGATCGCACAAATAAATCCTTTTCTGGTCTTTGAGTGAGGATGGATGAATGGGAGGTGGATAACGATGTGAGGGAGTTTGTTTCATGTCAGGGGACCGCCGACGGTGTATGAGTGTGAGCGCGCTGTGCGACAGCTCCATTCACAAAGATATGCTTTGAATCTGATGTATGGACCTCAGTTATTGCAGCAAAGAGGAAACATCCTTTCTGATCCATTATGCCGCAATAAAATGTTTCTGAAATCATGAAAGCAAAATGAATGATAGAGAAAGAGTCAAAAGCAATCAGAAGGTCAACTTCAGGCAAAAACAACAAAATGGCACAACGCAGGACACAATAATTAACGCATAAATAAAATACACAAGCTAAAGTGCGCGCAAGAAACACAGTGAGAAAACGTGGTGTTGTACTTTTTCATGTGTGCACAGCAGCGAACGAGCCGGGATGTGGTGGGTAAGATGTCATAAACATGTTTGCAAGAAGTGATTTGTGGGTCTCGCACAGATTATGAATGGTGGCAGCATCAAACAGCTGTCACTGAAAAACTGCAGACATGTTTGAGCGGCCTCGTGTGTGCTCAAAAAGGTTGTTTGCTTTACTTACAGCAGGAAACTGAGCAAGATAAATCTCAAACAAACTGATCTCGTGTTCACACGCATGTGACACAAATTTGAGCAAACTGGCAGAGATTTCTGGCCACATTTACATTTTGTTTCACTTCATTATTGAGCAAAGTATTCATGGACACTTTTATGAAAGGCATGTGTGCGAAAAGCTGCAGTTTCTTTCATGGCCACTTGAGGCTTTATACGCATTTGTGCATTAAGGCTTGATGCACAAGGACCAGGGGTTGGTTTCATTTTGCTCAGAGTTTTTTTCTTATTTTTCTCACAAATGCATCTTTTTTAAAGTCTGTTTCTTGCTTTGTTTTTACCATATCTCACGTAATATCACAGTAAATTAAAAAGACATGTTGTAAAACTAAATCAAGAAGCTCCCCAGCTCTGCTGCTTTCTTATCCCAATTCTGGCTCGAAAAACAAAACAACATGCAAAAACACGAGGCTCCAGAACAAATTGTTGCGGCATTGCACAGCAAGCATCTGCTAAAGGCAGACAAACAAAAGTGCTTATTGTTTTAATTGCTCACCATACTGTGTTCATTGATTGCGTCAACTCTCGTGATTTCTTTTTAAGCCACCAGAGATGTTTCATTTTCAGGGATAAAGAAAAAAACTGCATGTGAGACGAGGTTTGAATCAGCACTCAGCACACATCACACAAATGGTCTGCTCAAGAGAGAGCAAAACTGCAAATCAAAGTTTAGAGAGAGTAAATTGTCTCCTTAAAAGTGCTAGGCGTATCTGCAGGTTGTGCAAGTGGGTAACTATTTGTGACAATGTGTTCATGAAAGGTGAAAACATTTCAATATGCCGCCCCCAAGTGGGCAAATACTGCAGCTGCTGTGTTTGCCACGTCATCCTGAGAAGTATGCTCATTTATAAGTTATACACTTTTCCTTCAGCTCTTTGTATAGAGCAGCCTCGCCTTCACGTTTTTCAGCTCTAGGTATTCTCCTGACTTTGCCCTGCTGCACAGAGAGGATACTATTGAAGCTGTTTGCTTCCTCGCCCAAAATATGAGTGATGCATACCGATGTGCCACACATGCACTAACTTTGGCCACACACATACTTCATCATGCTCTATATTGAGATTTTAAGTATTTGCATGACAGAGGATTAGATCTTTAAAATAATTCATTCACTTTATTTTCCAGCATTTATTGGTTTCCAACTTGTGTGCGAAGGCTGAGTTTAACAAGTCAGAAAGAACAACAAGTACTGCAGAGCCAGGTGGGATAAAACCCATAGCACCCAATAACTAGAGCATCAGTGAAAATGCATTTTAACGGTTCCAGGTAACACACCTCGCCATCGTTGTTCACATGGAGTCAACATGAAGTAAAAGCTGTGTTTGACTTTGCCTTTCCACACTCACTTATTGTCTCATTATGAGGGACAAATGATCCAGCGGGGATGAAGACAAACCAAGAAAAGGCCCCGCATGCACAAGATTTAATGCGAACAGGGTGTATACAAACACAGTGTATTCTTCTTCATGCTGCGTTTTATGACCAGGAGCGGTCGGTCATTTAAGAGGGCAGTTTTAATCTCACGTTGTGTAACTAGCCACATCTTTATCCTGTTATAACTTTATTAATTTGGCTTCAGCTTTCATCCAGAGTTTATAGGCCTTCGAAATGCCTGAATCTCAGAGGTTGGTCTTGTTGAACAGAGCTCACCCACTGTGAGCTATGTAAACAGCTGTAAACCACACACAGACACATACTCACACATGCTGCACGGGAAAGAAACACTGACTCCTCAGGACCTGGGGGGGAAAAGAAAGAAAAGAAAAGACGCTCAACCAAAAGCTGAACCTCAAAGGAAGAATTTGCAAATATAATGTAATACTTTTATAAGATCACCAAATAAAGAAACCAAACACTGCAAATCAGGGAAGGAAAGTATGACATGTTTGTTTCAAACTTGGGCTTTAAATTCAAGGGGAAAAAAAGAGTATTTGATTTAAAACGAGTTCATTAGTTTCAATAAAGTAGTAGTAGAAACACACAGCGTTACAGTAAGAAAAAATGAAATGAAATTTTTTAAAAGTTGCGCAAATGAAACTTTCTTTTGAGTACATTTTCATTACCCTGAAAACAACAGATTAAAGAAAATGTAACACCTATAGAGTCCACAGCTGTTTCCCTTTTTTTTTGTCAAATGTGTCACATACATTTAACGTTTTTTTCAACTATCAGGAGATTTGGGGGAAAGCGAGTAGAGGCTTCTGGCACACGCTCACCTTCTTATACTGATATTAATGCCAGAGGAATTCCTGTAGCGACATCTTATAACAGCAACACAGTCCAATTCAGTGAGCTCTTTAGTCTTTCACTAATGTTTGGAAAAGCAGACTAAAAACACCTGAATTCAAAGATTGAGAGGTGTGGCCCATTACTTTTATCCATGTAGTGTAAGTTCTCAACAATATAAATTTTAGAGTATTTTTAGTGGCTATTAAACAATGCAAAGAAATGACTTTATACTTGGAACCAGTTTTGTTCCTCTGTATGTAAAACCTGTTTCATTCCCTCCCCTCAACACCTTCCTAACAGACACACATTTACTGGACATGTTTTGACAGGTGGTCATCACTGGTTTATACCGTAGGCACTAATTGCAGTCTGCAGGAACAGCAGAAGAGATGGAAAGAGAGCAAGTGTTAGTGAGTATGTGGCTGTCTTTGTGTTATGAATATAACAAGATGACAGACAAGAAAGACCAAACACACACACAGGAAATTTAGAAAGAGCAACTGAACATGAATCACAGACAGAATAAGTATTATTTCAGTCACAGCCAACACAGTTGTCAGTGAGTGCCATGACCAAAATCCTTTTCATTCCCTTCTGTCTATTTCATAAACTAAATTCTTTATTCCCAGCACATCTGGCAGACAGATGTCTATCTCGTCTTACGTCTCTTATTTTCTCTCCCTCGCTCCTTCTTTTCCCTTTGGGCAGGCCTGGTGTTAATCGCTCTCTCCTCCACCTGGCAAGACCACCCACATACTGAGCAGTGATGCTCAGCCCACCAGCAGTGTATGTGTGTGTGTGTGTGTGCATTACAAATTCATACACAAGAACATCACTTGAACTTACTTGAATTTACACAGGAGCAACAGTAACAGGAAATAGCCAAAATCGAAATTATTTGTGTGGAGATTTCAGCAGTTTCAAAACTCAAATCCCCCTGTATGTAAACATTGGAGAAGAAAGAAAAAACAGCTGTAATATATTCTGCCCTAAAATTGAGTGAAAGCATATGAATATGAATTTGAAATGTTTTAAAGGAAATAGGGATGCCCAGCTATGATAAAATAAATAAATAAATAAATAAAAAATAGGGATATGCGAGAAAAAAGAAATGGGAAAAATGCCCTTTTAATTATTTAAGCCAGAGTCATGGACGTTGCTGAAATCTATGCATTTGCTGCCATCTAGTGGTCAAGAGACCAAAGCAGAGAAAATAATACTGTTATTGTACTCAAGTATTTTCTAATTTATTCTAAGTAATTTCACTTTTTGTTTTTAATCCAGCTCAGTTTTAGTTAGTGCAGTGACAGTTTGCTTGTTTCAGTTTAATATTTCAGTTTTGAAAATGTTTAGTAGTTCATAACTAAGCTGATAATGAGCCTCATCCTCCTTTAGTTCGGACTTTTCCATGGTCATCCACCCGCGTGTACACATGACATCAGAAGAGACGCCACAACACAGAGTTAACACTGCATTACAATAAGAAAAAAAGACCTGGTGCTGAAAAAAAGAATAAGATTAGTGCTGTTAAAGTCAATGAGCTGTCAAAATAGGCTAGATGTTCTGCAGACCCTGTTCACACAACATAGCTGACTGAAGAAAAATGTAAAATATTATTTACCTTACCATAAACTGACTTTAATATTGTTTCATTTGATTTTAAATAATATGCTCAACTGTGTGCCAAAACTGGGGATCAAGCTGTAACGTAACAACAATTCAACTCACGAGTTTTACTTTAATCTGTGTAACGTTTTCTAACTTGGAGACCCAAAACAGGCTATGTTAGCTTAACTTTAACAGCAATGAGTAAAGAAATTGGCGGTCCGACCCTTCGTGTTTTCAGCCTAAGAGCAATATCGAGGCACAGATAACTTAACCACCTCAACTGCTATACCAAAATAAATCCTTGAGGGTTTTATTTATGTTGTTTTTAACCTGTTTGAGCTTCAGTCAATATTAGCTAATATGCCTGTTAGCTAATGCACTATAAGCTAACAGGAAGTTCGGAGGATCCAGTGCAGGTCATCTACCCCCGAGCAAGACAACCAGAATGTCCCCAGGGTGTAATTACAGAAAATCCCAGGTAAGTGCTTTTAATACTTTGGCAAATTGCTGGTCAATTTAAGCATTGGTGGTCGAATGCTGTTCTCTAGAGAGAGAATATTTGTTTGGTGTCTTGTTGTGCTTACTACGCATCCTTGACTCTTTTCTTCTTTCTGCATCAAGTAAGGAATGTAATGACAGTTCCCAAGAGGTTAAAAACACCACTGAAAAAATGACATCAGGCATGAGTTGGGACACTTGGATTATGGAGCTTCTGGACCAAGAGAGTGGATGTGAGCATGTGTTTAACAAGTAAGAGAATGACGTCCCCCAAAATGTTTAAACTTCAAAGGCCATACATACATACACATCCAGTGCTCAGCGTCTAATTGTGTGTTTGTGTTTTTACCTTTTTGCAATAGCGTAGTGAAACATTTGGGCAGTGGAAAAATAATAGAAAATAAAATTCAGACTACAGACGGCTTCAGGTGAGTACACGTGGTGCACAAGGACCAAAGCTCACCTTCTCAACCTGGACAAAATTAATTATATTTCACTGATACTGTAAACTTTTGTTTGTGTGTCAGGTTTCCATACATCGGAAACAGCTGCTGCATCTGTAATTCTGTCCATCCTAAGGAGAGTCAACACTCTACATCAGATCCTTGGCTCACCTATAATGACGCACAGGTGCTGCACACAACTGGATCTGCAGCTTGTGAGGAACAGCAGCACTCAGCCTACATCCTGTTTTACAAGAGAAACGTAAGAAGACACAGCATCTCATCCTGAAGTGAGAGAATGGCACGCCAGCTGGAGCCTAATTCAATCTCTTTTCCCCTAACAATAGCTGTAGATTTGGATGGAGGATGAAGACAGCAGAGACCAAAAGAAAAAGGTAAGAGCAGACAGGTAGTCAGAGTTAACAAAAACTTTTAAAGCCAGTGTAGCTTCTGTTTTGAACACATTTATTGATGACATTTGTACATAAATAAGCAGTGTGTTATACTGTTATCAGATGTGGAGTCTCACTAACCACTTTAATAGTGACTTGTGTCCCAAATACTGTTTATTTGTCTTAGTTACAGATAGTGAAATAAAATGGAAAATGATTGTTTCATAATTGTATACTCAGCTTGGTCAAGACAATAACTCGAGAACAAGGGGCAGGATTTTGAATTGATACCATTGGTGCATCTACTAAAGTTCTGCGGTCAGTTTGAATATCAGTGACCTTGACCTCAAGTTCAAAGGTCAAGTTTTCTGAAAATCTTGTGAATTCTACAACTCTGTGACGTAAGAAGTAAGTCTCCTAGGTCTTTAAATTTGTATATAGGTGCATCTACTAGGAAGCTGAAGGGTTGCACTGCGGGCCATCTGTAGAGGTGTAGAGTCAACAACCTGTCTCTGAACGTGGACAAAACAAAAGAGATTGTTGACTTCAGGAGAGCACAGAAAGATCACTGCCCACTTAACATGAATGGATCCTCTGTGGAGATCGTCAAAAGCACCAGATTTCTTGGTGTCCACCTGGCAGAGAACCTCTCCTGCTCCCTCAACACCAGCTCCATAACCAAGAAAGCCCAGCAGCGTCTCTACTTCATGCAGAAGCTGAGGAAAGCCCATCTCCCACCATCCATTCTCACCACCTTTTACAGTGGGACTAACAAGAGCATCCTAAGTAGCTGCATCACTGTCTGGTATGGTAACTGCAGCGTATTGGATCGCAGTACCCTCCAACGGATTGTGAGAGCAGCTGAGAAGATCATTGGAGCCCCTCTCCCCTCCTTATAGCACCCACTTGCTGGAGGACCCCACACACCCTTCAAACACACTTTTCACCCTGCTGCCTTCTGGAAAGAGGTCCCAGAACATCCGGGCCCTCACTACCAAACTACGGAAAAGTTTCTTCCCACAAGCCGTCAGACCCCTGAACACTCAGTGACTGCACTGGCACACGCACACCTGTCTGTCTAGTTTTGCACTGTTTTGTCTTGTTTATTTTTGCAGTTTATGCACACTGCACTTTATGTAGTCCTGGGTTTGTCCGTATATGTCATATATAGCACCAGGGTCTCGGAGGAACGCTGTCTCATTTCACTCTGTACAGTACCACTGCACGTGGTTAAAATGACAATAAAAGCCACTTGACTTGACCTGTGTTTTGTAGCAGTTGCTTGGAGACGAGCACCATACAGTTCAAATGAGCATACATTCCAAAATATGCAAATTAGCCCCATACATCATAATGATGATGTTTGCTGTTCAGGGTATGAACATTCTATGCTGAAAGTTTATAAATATACAACCTTTGACTGCTTGTTTTCAGTTGAACTTTTGCAAAGCTGAGAAGATTTTCACTGCGATCACATTAAGTCCAAAAATGTTTAAACTTCTTTTTCACAGAAAGGTAAGTTTGAAGAGACTCGCAGCACATTTCTCTGAATATTTTCTTATGGTAAATAAGCATTTTTGAAACTTTTAAGGAAGCTTCTTGGATGATTTCTGTAAAAACTGAATTTTGAATCCAAATGAAGGATTTTGTATTTTCATACCATATACTTTGTTTTATGCCATTACTGATGTTGGTTTTCTTGTTTCTAAACAGAAATCACACAAACAAAACGTGGCAGAGAAGGAAATTCCTTCTACATCTCATCAGAGGTAAAGAAAACTCTTTAATGCTGCTGGAGATATTTATAGCAGTGGTTTAGTTGGAGCAGTTTTATTTCCCTTTTATTGGTGTTTTGTATTTACATCTTTTTTTACTACTTCTAGTCTTGTCTATAATTTATATTGATTCAGAGATTAGCATTTGAAAATGTAGAGTGTAAATGTACAAAATACATGATTTTGTTCCATTACAGTTATTCATTTTTATTTGCAATCTCCAGCATGAACTCCTTGTTAAAAATTTCCACTTTGAAAAATAACATTTACACTTTTGTCCTCATCAGCATCCCGGATGCTTGTGTTGCTGCCACACCACCTAAGCCTGAAAATGGTCAAAAGAAGAATAGAAAATGGAGACGCTTCTGCTGTTCCTCGGTTTGCTTTTACACAAAACATATGAAATGCACATTCTCTTTAAATTGCACTTGTTAATTTAAAGTGACTTTACTGTTTTAATAAACTTATGGTTGTTCGTCCTCTGCAGCAAACTGACAGCAATGCAGAGACCAACACTGTAAAGACACAAAAAAAGTGTCGCTGGTTTCTTTTTAAATTCTGGAAGGTATGTTTTATGGAAAGAGTCACTGTCATCAAGCATTTACTCATCACAGTTAAATGAGAAGAATTAAGAGCAATTTAGCACACAGCTATGTCCTCAAATTAAGTTCAAAGATGTTTAAACGTGTTTTTTTTCACAGAAAGGTAAGTTTGACGAGACTTGCAGCACGTTTCTCTAAATATTTTTAGCATTTAAGCATTTTTGAAGCTTTTAATGAAGCTTCATGGATGATTTCTGTAAAAACTGAATTTTGATCAGAACCAAATGAAGGATTTTGTATTTCATAGGACAAACTTTAAAACTCAATTTAAGGCATGAATAAATTGTTTTTATTTTATTTAAAGATATTCCTATATATCTGCTTCATGAGCTGACAGCTCACTAAAGTGATAAATAATATAAAATAATTCCAAATTTTCTAACTGGACACTTTTCATGGAGAGACTCCCTTGGTATGTTTGTTTTATGCCATTACTGATGTTGGTTTTCTTGTTTCTAAACAGAAATTACACAAACAAAACGTGGCAGAGAAGGAAATTCCTTCTACGTCTCATCAGAGGTAAAGAAAA